CCTGTCAGTCTCTTCATTTACCTGTCAGAGCACTCTGATTGGATGGCTTAAACCCACCAATCAGAGTGCTCTGAGCCTAATTGCAGGGCGGGGCAAGGCTTTATAAGCCTTCCCCCGCCCTGCAGAGCTCAGTCTGCGCTGAGCCCTCACCGGGTGAAGATGGATTATTTTTTTTTTGCGCTCGTTTTTTTGGGTTTTTTTTTTAATTGCGTCGGTTATTATGGTTTTTTATTTGGCCTTTTTTGGGGCTGAAAAAAGAAGATTTAGAAGAAAGAAAACATCGAATGGTAAGTTGTTTTTTTTTCATTTTACAGGTACTTAGTTAAAGGTGCCCCTTATTATTTTTAGGGTGAGGGGGGTAGGTAGGGGGATAATGTTTTTTTTGGGGGGGAGGGGGTGACTAGGGGTTTGGGGACCCCTAGTCACCTGGGGGGTGGGGGGAAAAAATTTTTTAGGGCCCCCACCCGCCGCTCAGGGGTGGGGGCCACGGGGGGAAGACCTTAGGTCCCCCCCCTTTTTAGTATTTAGGGCCCCCACCCGCCGCTCAGGGGTGGGGGCCGGGGGGGAGGACCTTAGGTCCCCCCCCCATTTTAGTATTTAGGGCCCCCACCCGCCGCTCAGGGGTGGGGGCCGGGGGGGAGGACCTTAGTCCCCCCCCCTTTTTAGTATTTAGGGCCCCCACCCGCCGATCAGGGGTGGGGGCCAGGGGGGAGGACATTAGGTCCCCCCCCTTTTAGTATTTAGGGCCCCCACCACGCTAGGGTGGAATAGGGGAGGACCTAGGTCCACCCCTTTAGAGTGAAATCTCCCACCCGCTGCTCAGGGGAATGGGGGAGGATGCAGGTCCCCCCTATCATTATTTTTTATGGCCCCCACCCACCGCGCAGGGGTGGGGGCCGGGGGGGAGGACAGTAGGGCCTCCCCCCCATTGTAATTAATGGCCCCACCCGTTGCACAGGGGTGGGAGCCAATAGTTTTTGTTTTGTTTTGTTTTGTTTTTTTTACAGTGAGCAGCCACTGGCTGCTCACTGCTTACTAGACATGCCCCTACTCGCTGCATAGCGAGTAGGGGCAGATCATTTACTAATACTAAGTAATCTTTACTTCGTATTAGTAAATGTGGCTGAAAGACCAATTTAGGTCTTTCAGCCTTTTAGTAGATAACTCCCTAATACCGTGGGAATTAGGGAGTTATCTACTAAGCGGCTGCAAGATGCAGCCGCGGATCGGAGTTTGCATGCCACAGTCCAGGTGTTAGTCCCCTTGAAACATCTTGTGTGTTTTAAAATTCGCCTGTCTATTGAAGTCTATGGCGGTTCGCCCGGTTCGCGGGTTCGCGAACATTTGCCGAAATTCGCGTTCGCCGTTCGCGAACCGAAAATCTTATGTTCGCGACATCACTACTGGATACACAGATAGGATATTGCAGAGTTACTCAACAAGTAACTCTGCAATATCCTATCTGTGTATCCAGGACTTTTTTGCCCTAGGATCACTCTTTCTTTAGTTTGTACATGGTTAGGTCAGAAACTGTATTGTGTTTAGTTTCTAGTTTTCTAATGTCTTCTAATAGTGAGTTGGTCTTTTCTTCCATATGGCGTTTGTGGGCTGATGCTAGTTGTATGATCGTACCTCTGATGACACTTTTGTGTGCATCCCAAATTATTGGATAAGAGGAGTCAGGGTTGGTGCTTTGTGTAAAGTATTGGTCCAGGGATATCTTGATTTTTAATATTAGTTCTGTGTTTAGCAAGGTGTCGTTTAATTTCCATTAGGCCCTAGAGGGGTGAAGGGATGGGATTTGAACGTCTAGAGACAGGGGTGCATCATCCGACCAGGTTAATGGGCCACAAGAGCAGTGAGTTATCAGGTGGAGGAAACAGTGTGGTAGGAACAACATATCTATTCTCGTATGTGCCTGTGGAGTGTAAGAAGAACGAATAATCTCTAGTCGCAAGGTGTAACCTGTGCCCAAGAGAGTTTGCATTTGTTTACGCGTGGAAATTTCGTATATGTGTGTGTGTGTTGGACGTGAAATATAGGGTGATGTCTAGTGATGTATTAAAATGTCTCCTCCCAGGAGCAGAAGCCTTCTGCAAATTGTTCTAGAGCGTTGAGAATTTTACGCAGAGAGGGGCACTTTTTCTATTGGGAAGGTAGAGGTTTGCGAAAGTCACCAATGTGTTGCCCACTAACCCCTTCACATATAAAAAACTACCGTTTTCATCAGCTTTGTGTTCTTTATGTGTATAAGGTATGTTGGTTCCCATGAGGATCGCCACCTCCGGGATTTGGATATAGAATAATTGCTAAAATAACCTATGGGGTAGTGCTTGTCACTGAGGGTGGGTGTAGAGTCTTTGCGGAAGTGGGTTTATTGAAGAAAGACTACCTCTGCTTTGAGCTGGTGAAATTCAGTGAGTGCCATACGTCTCTTCTCTGGGAAGTTTAGGCCTCTTGCATTCATTAAGACTACTCGTATATTAGCCACAAGTGGTTATGTCAAGGTTAGGTGTGTGTCAATCATTCCAACCCAGACTGCAATGCAACAGTCACCGGTAGAGAGTAGAGAGAGCAATGCAAATACAACTCTGTGTATATACAAACAAATATTCAAAAATAACAAAAAGTATGTATAGTACAATAACATTTGTTCAATTACTTTTGTCAAATATGGGAAGAGGCTCCGGATCTTAAAATAAATTTGCTGGTGTCAATCCCTAAGATTTATCAAAGTCTACAGGGAACAGGGTGGTATGTTTCGACACCACTAAGGAAATAGAGGGTTTTGAGCTGACCAAATGTTCGGAGGCCTCTTGTTTACTTGGCGACCAGCGATGTTCGTGGGATGGATAGATGTGGAAGTGCGTATTTAAATGTTTACCTTGCCTTGGACTTCTTGTATTACTGGTGTGTAGAGTTGAGCGGACACCTGGATGTTCGGGTCCGGCTGAAAAAAAGTCCGGGTTTGGACTCGAACTTGACCCCGAACCTCATTAAAGTCAATGGGGACCCAAACTTTTGGGCACAAAAATGGCTCTAAAAAACTCATGGATTTTCTTCTTTCAATGTTGGAGCTACCATGGTTTTTAGATTTGGTGCTCTAGAATATATAATTTTAGGTTTATTCCCTAAGATTTTAACTAGTATGGGATCGCCTTTAAGTATATTCCAATGTCTCTTAAGAATCTTGTTCAGCTTTAAGGATTGATTACTGTACTGTGTAATAAATGCTGGAATTTCCGTATTCAGTTGTGGTTCTTTGTGTTTTTTCATTAATGTCTCTTCCCTCGGTGTCTCCATTGCTCTCTTAAGTGCACCCTCTACTAGATCCACAGAATAACCTTTATTTAAAAACAGTTTTTTCATGTCTTCCATCTGTAGTTTGCACGTTTCCATTTCCGAACAATTACGTCTAATTCTTCTGAATTGGCTGTAAGGAATGTTATTCAACCATGTCTTTTTGTGATAACTATTAAAAGGTATAAAACTGTTACAGTCAACTGTTTTTTTTTTAAAGTTTTAGTGTTAATTATGTTATCTTTGATGTAAATTTCTAAATCCAGAAATTCCACTGCTTCTTTCGAGTGTTGAAAGGTGAATTTCAAGTTGTATGGATTAAAATTCAAATACTGTTTAAATTCTTTCAAAGCCATCAAGTCTCCTTTCCAGATAAAGATACAATCGTCTATGTACCTCTGCCACAGGACCAGGTTTGCTACTGCTGGGGAGTCATTCCAAATAAATTCGTCCTCCCATTTTCCCATAAATAAATTTGCATAACCCGGAGCAAACCTGGTACCCATGGTATTCCCCTCTATTTGTAAAAATAATTCATCCTCTGAACAAAAAATGTTATGACTTAAAATAAATGCTATACACTCCACCAGATAATTAATTTGATCATTTTTTAACTCAGAATGGACTGCTAAATTATATTGCACCGCTTCACATCCTTGTAGATGCTCAATTATTGTGTATAATGATGTCACATCTGCCGTTACCAAGATGTAATCTTCTTCCCATTGCACATCGCTTAAAACTTTAATAATTTGAGTGGTATCTCTAAGGTAAGATTTTAGTTTACATACGACAGGTTGGAGAAACTGATCCACATATTCAGACAGATTTGAGGTCAATGAGCCTATCCCTGAAATTATTGGTCTTCCCGGAGGATTGGTTAGACTCTTATGAATCTTCGGTAGATGGTAGAAGACCGCTAATCTGGGATGTTTACACAGGATATGATCTGACTCTCTTTTTGATAATATTCCACGTTCTTTACCTATATTTATTAGTTAAACCAGTTCGTCCATGAATACTAGTCTTGGATTCTTGTTGAGCTTAAGATATGTATTTGTGTCACTTAGTAGTCTCCGATTTTCATTCATGTAGTCTTGACTATTCATAATTACTACTCCTCCTCCCTTGTCTGCTGCCTTAATGGTAATATTATTATCTTGCATGAGTGCCTTCAAAGCTTTTCTCTCCTTCCTTGTAAGGTTATCTTTAGGATCCGTGGTAATCTTCATAGATCTCAGATCTTTATCAATCATCTTCTCAAAGACTCTAATATTCTTACTTTTCATTTGATATGGATAAAATGTGGATTGGGGATGGAGGTTAGTATGTACATAGCCGTTATCATTTATTTCCTTAGAAAATTGATTCTCCATAAAAAAATCGCTTCACAGTAAGCTTTCTAATAAATTTATGCAGGTCATTGAACATGTTGAATTTCAAATTCTGTGAATTCGGGACAAATTTTAGTCCCTTTTTCAGGAGTGATGTCTCCTCTGGAGTTAATTCTCGATCAGATAGATTAAAAAGGCAAGTTACTTCTTCATCGATTTTCTGTTCATTTATTAGTCTCTTCGTTCTGTGTCTTCTTCTCTTCTTGGTCTTTTCCTTTCCACTGGGGACCAAGGGGGATCCCTCCGCTCTCTCCATGTTTTTTTCAAAGCTGTTCTTGTCTCCTCCCTTTGTTCCAGGAGATTCCCTAAAAAAGATACCTGGGAAATCCGCTCAGGGTGACTCTCCACTGGCTTAGTCGTTGTGGCTAAATTACAGTGTGGGACTCTAGCGTTATGATTAACAGTCCTCCAGTCACTAATGTGTCTTCTCTCATTATACGGAGTTCTTACTTGTTCATTTTCCCATCTTGTGTTCCGGAATGTATTATATCTCCTTCTTGGTGTAAGGGGTTTATGCTGCAAAGGATATCTTCCTTTTGGCGTGGAGGTCTTTCGGTAGGGTCTCCTAATATCGTCCCTATTATGGTGGGACATATTTTTACTGACCCTTTCATTAGGTTTTCTTCCCTGCTGTAAAGGTGGAATTTGATTTCTTTCATGATGTTGTGTATGATGGAGATTACGTATATTTCTATGTTTATTCCAATTTCGCTGTATCCCTTTCTCATAATCTTCCTTATCTCTACTTATTTTCTTTCTTTTTCCTTCTTTTATCTTAACTTCCAAATCTTTTACTCTTCTCTCAATTTTGTCCAACAGTTCAGCGAATGTACCGTCTTCTACTTCTGGGGTAATCTCTGATTTAAGTTTTTCAATTTCAATTTCAATTAACTCTAGTTCCTTTTTTTTCTCATTAATCAGAAAAATGATCAATAATAGAGAACCTTTGTCAAGGAGCTGATCCCATTTCAATAGGATCCTTTCATCTTTATTTTTATAAGCTAGGGGTTTTTGTCATCTTAATCCCCTTGGTACTATATTATTAGCCACATAGAATTCAAAACTAGTAATATCCCACCATATCTGTGTCTCCTGTTCCAATAAATCTCCAAGTTTATAAATTTTAGATCTAGTGTCTGCAGGTCTTTTTGTAGAGGGGGATTCTTATTTTTCATCATTTTTTATTGCACAATCCTCAAGCATCATCTGGTTAAAATTATTTCTCCTTGTCTCCCTAATAAAATCCAGATTGCGATTAAGAGCCATAATTTTCTTTCCCAACAGGTGTGAATAGTAAAGTTAAAAATCAGAAAGAACCAAGAGGAAAAAATTCCACTTGAAACGATAGGGAAAAAAAGAATTATGTTAGGACACCTAAATTGCAATTCAAGTGGAGTAATCTATCTACTTATCTGCCCATGTGGTAAATATTACATCGGTAGGACGAAAAGACCATTTAAAGTCAGGATAGCTGAACATATCCGGAACATAAAAAAGAGCCTTACAACACATAACCTCTCGAGACATTTTCAAATTACGCACTCTAGTGATCCAGGAGAACTATTTTTTATGGCTATAGAGAAAGTTTTTCTGCATTGGAGAGGAGGCGATTTTGAAAAAGTTCTTGATAGAGCAGAAGCAAAATGGATTTTCCAGTTGGATACTTTAGAACCTAAGGGTCTTAACTTGGACTTTGAATTGAATGCTTTTTTGTAATTTATTTTTTTTTATGACAAGTTGCTCCCGGATGTATTATTGCAATATTCCATATGATGAACTTTTATGTGTATTTCTTAATAACCTCAGTAATTTTTTCCTCTCTGTTTTTAATTAATTTGTGTTTTTAGTTGAGGGAGATTGATCCATGTTTTAAATTAATGAATTAAGTAAGTGGTAATAATTGAGCTTGCTTTTAATGTAAGTCTTTTATTTTGATGTATTTTTTATATATTGTTTTCTATATATTGTTTTTATATATTGTTTTTATATATTGCTTTCATTTTATATGCTTGAGGAGAAGTATCTCTTTATAATTTGTTTCAATGTATTATTGACATAGTGACAGGCAGATGCTGTTTTTTATTTTTTTATCATAAAGTAAGGATGGGGTTAATATTTTGCCAAAGGGGTATTTAAACCCGACCGGCATCCCATAGATGCATACCTCTGATGAAGTGACAGGAAGTCACGAAACGCGTTAGGCTGCATCTTTTCGTACACACGCTCACAGTGGAACGCATGCGGAAGTGAAGTGGAACGCACGCGGTGGATCCCCTCGACGAGTTGTTTCTCACCACGATCGATACTATCTCTGAAGCCAGCTTTGAGGAGGCAGTATACCGAGAGTTTGCAGTAACACTTGGGGGGAAGACATCAACAGTAAAGTTCCCTTCTATCTGCTTTTTGTGAGCGGATTTTATGCAATTGCATTTTTTAACTTATCTTGTTTGCTTAATAAAGTCTATATAAGTAATATTTTGTGACTTTGGGAAGATCTATATACTATACAGCACCACCTTGGGTCAGCTAAAGGAACGCTTTTATTCTAGATGTGTAACTGTTCACACAGTTACACTTCTGCTACATTTGACGGCTGTTTGCTTTCTTTTTGTAACATACTGATAGTCGCTACTTTTATTCAGTCTGTTACTATAGAATTAGCTCATACTGGCAAGTTTCCCTGCTAGATATGTAGGGGTGTATAAACCATTTGATTTTTTTATGTGAGCACACATTATAAGGACTGTCTTTGGACATTTATATATTTACATTAAGACTGTGCACTTTACCAAATTGTAATAGATATATCTCTATATTGCATTTGTTGGCTTCAATAGCTATCCAGTAATCTTGTTTATTCAATTTTTATTTTTATTTTTTTTATTATTTTTTTTTTGTGTGTGTGGATATCCACTCCTGGTTTAAGGTATTAGGTTTCCTTATGCTTTTTCTACTTTAGCTTTGTTAGGGAGCCTGATTTACCCGAGGGAGTCTTCCCCGACATGGAGTGACCACTCTGGGCTCGTTTGGGGTTACCCATATATGTGTGTTACCTCTAAAATTATGAATTTACTGCCTGGATTGCCAGGAGCTAGTTTAGCATGCGTCCATCCAGGTCGGCAGTTGGCCATGCCCCCCATTTTGTAATATTTTGTGTATGTTGCGTAATGGAAATATCCACAAAATAGATGCAGGTGAAAAACACCTAACTTTATTTTTCCTTTTTATATGCAAATAATTAAAAGAAAGGGAAAAAACAGGGGCATGTGTTTATTATAATGAGGTTTTTCTTGTAATGCACACGCAATCTAGTTACTGTTTATGTTATTGGTAGTGTCCTTTTAATTCTTCTCTGAACTAGATCTTATTAGCATGTTTTCAAAGGATTGCAGTGATATTTCCTTAGTAAATTACATCCTATCTTTATCAATACATAACTGTAAATGAGATGCAAGGCAAAGTATGTAATATATGTTTATATTTACTGCAACACTACAGTGCATATCTGCCATAATAAAATTAGTGGATAGTGTCATTGCACTTTTACAAGGTTTTTCAACATTGAGTTTTAAGTTACTATTACCTTTGTATAATCACCAGCAAGAAATCCTTGTTCAAAACCACTGTACATTGTTAGTGGGATGAGAAGACACTGACGCTTATCCTTTAGATGCCTTATAGTTGCCATTATTTTTTTTCCAAAAGATTCTTCTTTAAAGTCATCCTTTGCCTGTCTTGTATTTAAATCAATGTTATCCAAGAATATAGCAATGAGAGCAATAGCAAGCACTCCACTTCCTGCAAAGCATGATAAATAAACCAATGAGAAAAAAATACTAACACGATAATATTTATCTTTTTCACATTTTTCTATATTTTAAAGAAAATTCATTAAAATGTTTGAACATTATGTCCTCCCCCTTTAATATGATATGACCATGGATGGGGGTAGATGGAACATACAAATGTCCCCCCATTTACTAGGACATATCCCCACCCACTGGACACAGGTGGTATAGAGGTGTAAACTGTAATCTGCCCATCCTTCATTAATTATTGAAAAAGTCCCCGTTGTCAGCTGGAAAATAGTTCAGATTTTATTTTAAATCCGGTCCGATTTTGAAGCAGTCAGGTCTTGATTTCAGCTTTTTGGCTAAATTGGTCCAGCTGAAATCTGGACCTATATCAGGCTTATTCAGAACCCGAGTTGCAAAATCTAGACATTGTTAAATAATGTGAATAATATCAGGGTTTTGCAGTCTGAATTGCCTCATGCACAGCCAGACTGTTTTGCCTTGTTCAGTGGAGGACCAATAGGACTTTAGTGAATAACCTTGTATGATTTATTTTAGCCATTGGTTCTTCTCTGTCTCCCTAGTTAGTACATGCCTCTCCTTGAGATGATTATCATATGTTTTCATTACTTTTCCATGTTACCTTATGGTAGCACTAGATATCTTTAAGTCTTCTGTTACTTGTGTCAATGAGCACTTAGTTATTTATGAAACCCTTTTACAGCAGTTTAGCTAGTTGTTGTCTAGTAGATTTACACATTTTACATCAGTACCCTTTTGACACATATATACAGCAAAAAGGTTTTTTATTCACTATGTGACTATTGACACTTTTCACTTTCATAATTCATCAGTTTATGGAAACACTGTTATACTTTTATAATTAAAAGAAAATAGAGATAAAAAGATGGTGCTACAAGCAAAATAAAATATTTCAGGTAGAACCAGTGCAGCATACAGGAAAATCACCAAAGTGTATAGTCAAAAAAAAAAAAATTCCCTTCCTTTTTTGTCTAAGGTTTTAGAGAAATATTTGTCCATATATTCTGTATGTTATCAATTCGAAATTACCATATTTTTACACTGATTTTACATTTGTCATGTTGGTTAAATTTTCGTCATTATTTTTTTGATGTGTATTGTCACTATCTTATATTCTCATACTCTCTTTCCCTTTCTCTTTATGTCCCATTTTTTACATGGCTTTCATAGTCCCTATATAGAGACTGTTTCGATATCACAGTATGAACTAATGATTGACATATAATTATGCCCACGCCCCCCGAAACCACGTGATCGGAGCAGGACGAAACCGGAAGTGGCAATATCCAGCAATTAGTCGCGAGATGGCATAGACGTGATGCCATCTTGGGAAGGTCGGATGTACCTCCATAGGAAGTAACCACACGGCGGACATCTTGGTAGAGGCGAGAACACCAAAATTACAGCTGGAAATACTCCTTATATGGTGAAGGAGACGGTCTATCAACACACAGCTGTTAATGTTTGTGATTTATTTGTATTAGGTATTTATGCTATATAAGAATGTTGTTGTACATGCTATAAGATATGCACCTGAGGAAGACCCATTGCATTGGGTCGAAACGCGTTGTGCTTTTTTCTACTTTATTTTATAATGTTTAAATAAATATACTAACCTTTATTTACTTTGGTGACCTGGTTCCTGATTTTCAACACAGAAGACATTTGACACCTTCTGAAGGACCTGAATCCTTATACCCACATCTGATTGATGTACCTGCTACTATAGTTTAGAGCCAACTCAGAAAGGCTCTAAATATTGTGAGTTTTTCCAAGTATTCTTAATATTATCTGTGTTAAGATATATTACCCTATGATGTTTTTTATACTTACAGAACTAGGAATGATCTACTTAATACGAAAATATCATCTACTATGTGCGCAATAACCATATCTTTGTTCCAATAATTTTATAATTGTTATAATTTTCCGACAACTCTAGCTTTTTGTACCCTTCCCCTTCTCAACACACCGAAGGGGTTACACACAATTTGGAGAGTAAATATCACTTATATTTATTGTGACAGATCTCCCTGTTCCTGGATTTTATAATTTCCTTCGCCTGTTTGTTCGGTGAAATACGTTTATTCCCTATATTAACATTGTCTCGTTCGAATAATGAATAAACTCCCAAACGACCGACCACCGAGATGCCGAGTGTGCCGCTCGTTGACTCCATTAACCTCTAGTAACACCTCCATAACCACAAACACCTCAATGTTCTAAGCGGTCGGCTGGGTGGTCGTCGTTCATATGTGCGAACACATGGCAGCGGCTATCTTGCGATACAAACACGGCCAGCGGTGTTTGGTCATCGAATGTATGGAACTAAAATCGGAGACTCGACGGCACGAACACCACTGAGACTTCCATCCATACTAATGTTCGACAATATTCTTACGAGCAGAACCATGTTCAGTGAAAATATTTCTCGAGACTATGGGAATGTATGTACAAACTGATATTCATATGAATGTGATGTATTTTGGTACTCCTGAAAGAGACCGACTGCACAGCCTTAATGCATGGAACTATTTTGGGCAGGAGTCTTGTGTGCGGTTGGTCTAATCCATGCCCCGGTGTCTTTTCGGCTACATTCATGGGATCTGAGTGATTTTGAGATATGTTGGGAGCTCATATCCAGGCTATCCGGGGATATAGCACTTGAAGCACTACTCCTTCAAGTACCTCATTGTCAAGTATATATTTTGGAGTATTTTTATTATGCATGTCCTAGACCTGAGAGGTAATATAATTATGTGTGTGCTTATGTGGCTGTCCTCTCTCAGGTCCAGTGGTGAATGCCCCTGGAATATATCATCAGAAACCCCTTGTGTGGGGATTTGCATAAAAGGCCAGCTGTGGCTCCCATTAAAGTCAGATCAGTTCACCCTCAACATGCAGCCTCGTCTCGTAATTGTAGGGAACAGCTATACCAGCTATACCTGCTTCTCTTACTGCTTGGATTACTACTTGGAATACTATAACACTACTCATACTAGGGGGAAAGGACGTCTCTGGCAGTAGAAACCCCTCTACTCACCGGGGTGACCGCTACATTTGGTGGCAGTGGTGGGATGGTTCTTTTTCCCCAGAGGCAGTGTTACACGAATAGAGAGTCAGTATGACAAGCTGAAAAGACTGACCCTAAAGGATGTATGGGAAAACCATGGACGTCCCGCTATCAACTGACTGCGACAGGAACTGATCGTGGAATTAGTCGAATTGGACCAAACAGCTGCAATGGGAGATGTAAATGTCTCGAACACAGAGGAAGGCGAAGCGCTGTGGGACGTTTGGTTATGTTTGGCATTGTATGGGCCGAACCCATCGGAGGACTTGATCACCCAGGTATTCAGCGCAGTGGAAGCCAAAGCCGAAGAAAAACGGGAAGATAAGCTATGGCTAGCCACAATACAACGGCCCGAAAGCCCAGCTGGGATATCTACTATGCTCCCAGAAGAACGGAAAAAGGTGCCGTTTTCAGTGTTTAAACAATTTCAGGAAACCGAGGGGGAGATAGACGGTTATCATGATTTTGAAAGACAGTGTGCACTACATAAGGTACCCACAGAAGAATAGGTTACCATTCTATCAGGAAATTTGTCCGGTAAAGCTGCCAAAGCCTTCCGGGCTATCCCTGATGAGGACATACAACATTATCACTCAGTTAAAGAGGCTTTACTCACTGGTTATGCCATTACCCCAGAGGCATATCGCCAACAATTCTGGGAATCAAAGAAGAAATGGGGAGACTCATACATGGAGTGGGCCTGCCACCTACACCGTACAGCTTCACATTGGGTTGGCGGGTGCCAAGCAGTTTCAGGAGAGGATGTACTGCAACTGTTCCTCCTAGAACACTTTTTAAAGTCTCTGCAACCTGAACTGCGAGAATGGGTACGTGACTGAAGACCACTCACTTTACCCGAAGCTGCCAGGCAGATGAATACACCGACAACAGGCGCATGGAACAGACCACTAAAAGACCCCCTCCTCGCCCAGAGTTCCGTGCTCCGGTTCCCCTAGGTCCTCCTCGCTACTGCGCACCCCCTAGGTTCCAACAGAACCAACCTTACGGGACAATGGAGCTACCCTGACTCTAGTGCAAAGACACATGGTGAGCAACAAGGAATGCACTGGACAAACAGTAGTTTCATAATTTGTTGCAAAATCGGAAGTGCTTCAAACTGAGATTTTTTGCCCTTATTTGGATCAACAGCAAAAAATAAAATACGAGGAAGGCTGAACTTGATGGACACATGTCTCTTTTCAGCCTATGTTACTATGTAACTAAGGAATCAGCAATGCAAGGCTTTTTTTTGTAATTCCTAGATAATTCCCCAGTAAAACTTCTGCAGGCAAGTTGTCCATAATCCCCAAATTCACAATGCCGGATCCAGCTCCCCAGTTAAGGTGAACGCATTTGAAATGAAGAAGCATATATTAAGAGTAGAAATTAATTTGCTATTTTGGGTCAAGAGCAAATTTGTTTCATAATTTGTTGCAAAATTGGAAGTGCGTCTCCCTACTACCAAATTACACGCTGTACCAAAAAAGCCCTGCATTACTGATTCCTTAATTACATAGTAACATAGGCTGAAAAGAGACATGTGTCCATCAAGTTCAGCCTTCCAACATTTTTTGCTGTTGATCCAAATAAGGGCAAAAAATCTCAATTTGAAGCACTATTTGCTCTTGACCCAAAATATCAAATGAATTTGTACTCTTAATATATGCTTCTTCATTTCAAATGCGTTAACCTTAACTGGGGAGCTGGATCTGGCATTGTGAATGTGGGGATTAACAATAAGCCCGGTAAGCAGAATGGCAACGCTGACGGTTTGTCCTGTCAAATGGAGCTCAGCACGTAGCAAAAATCTGGACATCCCCAAGTTGACCTGAAAAAGGTAAAACCGGTTCTGCCGGAGTGTTCCACAAGGAGGGAGCAATGTGACAGATCTCCCTGTCCCTGATTTTACAGTTTTTATTCCCTTCATCTGTTTGTTCTGTGAAATACGTTTATTCCCTATATTAACATTGTCCCATTCGAATAATGAATAAACTACCGAACGACCGACCACCTAGATGTGGAGTGTGCCACTTTTTAACCCCATTAACCTCTACTTACACCTCCATAACCACAAACACCTCAACATTCTAAGCGGTCAGCTGGATGGTTGTTGTTCATATGTGCGAACACGTGGTGATGGCCATCTTGAGATACAAACACGGCCAGCTGTGTTTGGTCATCGAAGGTATGGAACTAAAATCGGACACTCAACGGCACGAACAACGCTGAAACTTCCATCCCTACTGATGTTCGACAATATTCTTATGAACAGAATGGCTTTCAGTGAAAACATTCCTCGAACTAAAGAGACTATGGGAACGTACGCACGAACTGATATTTATATGTGATGTATTTTACTCCAGAAAGAGACCGACTGCCTTAATGCATGGAACTAGGGAGTATTTTGGGCAGGCACCTTGTGGGCAGTAGGTCTAAATTATACCCCAGTGGCGTTTCAGCTACATTCATGGGATGAGTGATTTCGAAATATGTTGGGCGCTCAGATCCAGGCTATCCGAGGGGTACTTCATTGTTAAGTATATATTTTAGGGTATTTTTATTATGCATGTCCTGGACCTGAGAGGTAATGTAATTATGTGTGTGCTTATGTGGCTGTCCCCTCTCAGGTCCAATGGGGAATGCCCCTGGAATATGTCACCAGACACCCCTTGCATGGGGACTTGCATAGAAGGCCAGCTGTGACTCCCATTAAAGTCCCATTATACCTGCTTCTCTTACTGCTTGAATGCAATGGTGTCTCTAGGATTCATTTTTAGGGGGGACACATGGTGGGCCAGGGACAAAAGTAGGGGGACACATTTAACCCCGCCCTCGCCGCAGTTTGACCCCACCCCGTACCGCATGTTAAGCCCCACCCCTGATACAATGTGTTTTTTTTTATTTTTATAATCCCTGGTGGAGGATTCATTATTTTCCACCAGGGGTTATTAAAAAACAAACACATTTCCCTTGATACAGTGCCATAGTTGGCACTATATCCATATACACAGTCCATATACACACACACACAGACTGCTGAGTCCATACATACACTGCTGAGTCCACACACACACACACAGACAGACACACACAGACAGACTGCTGAGTCCATACACACACACACACACACAGAGACTGCTGAGTCCATACACAAACACACAAACGCAGACTGCTGAATCCACACATACTTCTAAGTCCATACACACATACAGACTGCTGAGTCCATACACACACAGACACACACACACACACACAGACTGCTGAGTGCATACACACACACATACACACACAGACTGCTGAGTCCATACACACCATCTGCTGAGTACATACACACACACACAGACACACACACACAGACACAAACACACACAAACTGCCGAGTCCATACATACACACAGACACACACACAGACTGCTGAGTCCATACACACACAAACAGACACACAGACTGCTAAGTCCATACACACACAGAGACTGCTGAGTCCATCCACACACACACAGACTTCATTCCCTCGGGCTGTCACAGAGTGTTACAGTCCGAGGGAATAGAATTTAAGAACATGGCCAGCAAGTTGCCAGCATTTGGGGGGCACAAGGGGGAGCACAGCATGATGTAGGTGGGGGCCCATGCCCCCTCCCAGCGACGCCACTGCTTGGATGACTACTTGGAATACTATATATTATAGTCACACTAGGTGGAAAGGACGTCTCTTGCGGTGGAAACCCCTCTACTCACCGGGGTGACTGCTACACCTATATGTATATATATATTTGAGGCATTTTGAGTATTGTTTGATCTTTAAAAAGGCAAAGGTGGAGCTTAAACATTGTAAACGTTTCACAGAAATGCATTTGGTATTTTTTAACTTCGAGAAGTACACCGTATTTTTAATAATGTCTATATACAGTGGACGGCATTTGTGTATATATAAATAAATGCATCATCTTGTTGTGTAATAATAGCCGCAGTGCAGCCTTCAGATAAAAAAATATCAAACCAAAATTAGAGCAGTCTAGCAGTCTTGTATACAAAATGACTGCTTCATTTGAAAGAACTGTAGCACATGGCATTGAGCTGTCCACAAAACTTAAGTGTTCTAACATGCTTTCGTGTAATTCTTACTCTCTGTATTCCCATTATATGCAGTATTCATCTGATTATTCGGTAGTTTCACTCCGTTTATTATATGAGTAAAACTATCGAATAACCAGGCCACCCTGATGTGAAGGGTGGCTGTAATTTACCCCCCTGTTCGCTTTATTGAATTTCCCATTGAAAAGCACGAACTCGTTGTTAAAGTCCCTGGGTGGCCGCCATTTCGGGAGCCAAACACGTGGCGGCGAACAGCGGTGTTTTGCTGTCGAGTGTCTGGAACTAAAATCAGACACTCGACTGAGCAAACACCGCTGAGACCTCCAGAGCTATGGAAGAGACTGATAGAAACTCCTGAACGGCCTGCCATTTGGTAGTTTGAATCCCACGAACAAGGGGATTCATCCGAATGCAAACACAGCTCTGGATGGCATTAAGTTCGGGACTTCTTAGACACAAAAAGTGACCGACCGCAAGGCCAAAACTCATGGAACTGTTTTCGGCTACTGTTGCCTGTGCGGTCAGTCAAAACTTTACACCTCCATAACTCCTGAACCCTCGGTCCGATCTGGGTAATTTTTGAGTATGTTGCTCACCCAGTTTAGGGCTATCAGGGGATACCATCAGGGCTATCAGGGGATATTTAGGGGTGTACCTTATGTATTTGGGGTACATCTAGAACTTGGGGAAAATTGTGTACCGTTTAATTATGTTAAATGTTTATCTGAGGGGAGGAGATGTGTGGGTTGTACCTTGTACCCGATTGGTTATTGTAATAATTATGGTGGGTGTCTCTTTTGCATGGGAGAATTGCTTAAAAGGAGGGATTAAACATCAGTTCTGCTCCTGATGCTGTTTGTCGTCCAGTTATTGGGATCTGTATTGGGATATTCGTGGATTACCTTGCTTGCTGTGACTATTGTTATATGGGATTTTATTGCTTGTTCCTGAGCCTCACTGGGATCTTTAGTGGAGATAACCTGGGAAATACCAGCTCTCCGGTACAAGAACAGTTAAATATCTATACTGTGTCAACGTTGCAGAAAATATTAAAGAAACACTCCACTGACCAAATAAATCACTGTTTAGTAGAAATTTAAATTTTTCATGCATGTATTCATTGGGAGTAGATCTTTAAATAGCTTCCAAAAGCTGAGGTCTGAAGTCTGTGGAGTTAAAGAGCTAGTCTGAGGTCTGTGTGTAAGGAGGCAGGTACGCTGAAGAAAGTGCCTGCCACTTCCGTTAGCTCAGGCGAGTTAATGGAAGGAGACTGAAAACCTCCCTGGCTGTTTGATTGACAGCCAGGGGGGTGTTTCCTAGTCATTTAAAAAAAAAAAATCATAGAAATGTCATAGTAATCGGCACTTTTATAAACTGGGGTTAAACTAGGATACCCCAGACCCATAATGAACTTCATCAAGCTGAAGTGCTTTTTGGTTGTGCAGGGGTTCTTTAATTAAAAGTATTACAACAGAGTGACAAAAAGTATTGTTACAACAGTCACAAAATGGCCTGTATATGTAGACACAGGAACACAAATTTATGACTCTCAGACTTTGCATATGCATTCATGAGCGACATGTAGGCTTTCCATTTGTACCGAATTCCACGCTGTACCAAAAAAGCCTTGCATTACTGATTTCATAGTTACATAGTAACATAGGCTGAAAAGAGACATGTGTCCATCAAGTTCCGCCTTCCTCATATTTTATTTTTTGTTGTTGATCCAAATAAGGGCAAAAAAATCTCAGTTTGAAGCACTTCCAATTTTGCAACAAATTATGAAAAAAATTCCCTCTTGACCCTAAAATAGCAGATTAATTTGTACTCTTAATATATGCTTCTTCATTTCATAGAAACATAGAAACATAGAAACATAGAATGTGACGGCAGATAAGAACCATTCGGCCCATCTAGTCTGCCCAATTTTCTAAATACTTTCATTAGTCCCTAGTCTTATCTTATAGTTAGGATAGCCTTATGCCTATCCCACGCATGCTTAAACTCCTTTTACTGTGTTAACCTCTACCACTTCAGCTGGAAGGCTATTCCATGCATCCACTACCCTCTCAGTAAAGTAATACTTCCTGATATTATTTTTAAAACCTTTGTCCCTCTAATTTAAGACTATGTCCTCTTGTTGTGGTAGTTTTTCTTCTTTTAAATATAGTCTCCACCTTTACTGTGTTGATTCCCTTTATATATTTAAATGTTTCTATCATATCCCCCCATTTCAATTGCATTCCTAAAGCTTGTATATTTGATTAAAATATCGTACGATTTATAGTAAACAAATATAACTATATCTAAGTATACACTTACAATTCCGGCATTCACTCTATTACCACTTTTTTTTAAATTGTGTTGAAATTTGGTTTTAATTTGTGCTTGCTTATCTTTTCCTTTTATGCCACCTAGTGGTTCCTGATGAAATCTATGTTTAGGTTTTTATTTCTCTCTACATCGGCTATCATATTATGTAAAGAAAAGTTACATAGTACGTCATAAATTATATTGGTGTTTTACTTATTCTACAGTTTTAGTGGGCTAGTTCATAGTGATACAAACTGTTTTAACTAAAAAATACTAGCTTTTACATTGTGATAACTCATGATGGCAAATCAAATAACAAAAAGTCAGTAGAAAATATATATACTTAACATTAGTGATGTCCCGAACGGTTCGCGAACGGTTCGTGAACGGTTCGCCACGAACGGTTCGCCACGGACTCATCATTCCAGCCAATCAGCAGCAGACCCTCCCTCCCAGACCCTCCCACCTCCTGGACAGCATCCATTTTGAAGCTGCATTCTTAGTGAGCTGACCTGGAATGATGAGTTCGCGGTGAACCGTTCGCGAACCGTTCGGGACATCACTACTTAACATATATAAATATCTATTAGGGATTGGGGTTCCATTTGACCACACAACTGGTGCAACACTTTTGTGTCTGTCAGGAGAGGTATGCAATATTCTACACAGGAGACAAATGTTATCACTGCTATCATTTATAAAACCCAACAAATGCTGCAGCACTGTTAAATAGGTGGACCAGAAATCAAGAACTGGAAACAAAACACGTCGGACGAACAGAAGCAGAAGCTGCTGAGGGCTCTCTCAAATAAGTTACATTCTAAGGGGAGTGGGGTAAAATAAACTTCTATAGTTTGCTAGAAGAATTTACAATAAAGTATTAGGACTGTAGCTCCATAGATAGCTATAGTTCAGTCATGGTATTACTGAAAGAGCAAGATATAAAGGTAGAGTTGTAAACTGCTAGAGTGATTAAAAATGGATTAAAGGTATAGGATGATAGGATGCAATGTGACAAAACTCTATGTGATAGCAAAGTAAAATATACTGAAACGTACCCATGATTTTTCATTCAGTTCAACTGTAACATTGTATAGTTTTCAGACATCATATTGTGGGATGATCACTAAAAACCTTAAAGGAGCAATATAGGGCTGGAACACAATTGCGCATTTTTGACCCTGTAGTGTTAAACTAACTATTATCCCCCTGGTTTCCCCTAAAGCTAGTAAAAACTTACCTATTTCCAGCCCACGTGGGTCCACTGGTGCTGGCTCCATCCGCAAACCACCTCCTTGCCTGACATCATAAGAATTGACAATCTCAGCCAATACAATGCTTTCCTACAATGCTGAGATGGTCAATTCTGATTATCTCAGCCAACGAGATGGGCTGGGAGTGGATCCAAATACTGTTCTGGCTAATCAGCATATCCTCAGAGATATGCAGAGCCGCCATCAGGGGGTGACAACCATGACGGCCCAGGCCCTACGTGGAGCTGCGAAACTGCCGCAGGTGCATTTAGGGCCACCCAATGAGCCCTATATCTTCAGGGGGTGGTCAGCGCTTTAATAGGACCGGGCCCCTTTAAAAAAAAAAAAAATGCGGTTGCACCGCAAATGCTGCTGGGAGGAAGTGATGGCCGGCCACTTCCTCCCAGCTTACTCATCACGGGAAGGGGAGAGACTGCAGAGAAGAGGAATCCGCTCCCATCATCCCCAGCCACCCTCCTGCAACTTAAAGGTAAGGAATAGGAGGGTGGCTTAAAAATGAGGTATATATCAGAATGTATGTATGTGTCTGTATGTCAGTTTGTCAGTATGTGTGTATGTCAGTATGTATGTATGTAAGTATGTCTGTGTGTGTGTGTATGTCAGTATGTATGTATGTATATATCTGTCAGTATGTATGTGTGTATCTATGTATGTATGTGTATGTATGTATGTCAGTATGTATGTGGGTATATATCTATGTGTGTGTGTGTATGCCTGTATGTATGTATATATCAGTATGAATGTGTGTATGTATGTCAGTATGCATGTATGTCTGTCAGTATGTATGTGTGTGTGTCAGTATGCGAGTATGTATGTACGTCAGTGTATGTGTGTGTGTATCTCCTTATGAATGTGTGTGTCTGTATATGTGTGTGTCTGTTTCAGCATATGTGTGTCAGTATGCCTGTATGTGTGTATGTCTGTTTCAGCATTTGTGTATCTTTCTGTGTGTGTGTCTGTGTCATTTTGTGTCTGTGTGTGTGTGTATTCCTGTGGGCAGGATTTGGAGGTGGGATTGGAGGTGGGCACCCGGGGACCCAGACCTAGAGCTGTGTTAGGGGCCCCAGAATTTCTCATGGCGGCCCTGTAGAGATGCATTGAATAAATGCATCTCTGTGGGGAAAGTTCAGCATCTCCAAGCAGAGCATGGAGACACAATGTCAGTGCAGCACACTGTGCAGCACTGACCCAGGAAGCACTTCCAGTGGCCAGTGAGGAGTGGCCACTGGAGGTGTCCTTAGGCTGTATTGTAAATACTGCATTTTCTCTGAAAAGAGAATGCGAGCTCAAAATACACACTTTGGGGATTCCTACATGCTGTAATAGGAGTCATCAATGCTGTGTTTTATACAAATGTTTAGTGTTTTTGTACTTACTGTAGGTTGGCATTATACCCATATAAAGACATTATTTTTACATTCTGTTGGCGTTTCTGAATGCTGCATTCATAGAAAAGCTAATATATGTCTAACAAATAATAATGAACAAGAATGTTTGATTATTTTTCATTTATCTATTTATATGTGACTACAATGTAAGAGTTGGCAGATGCTGTTCAAATACTGCACAATAGAGGAATACCATGTAGTCTCTTAAACTTTTTAGGCACACTCTTATTACCCATTGTAGTTTTGCATATGGTTACTGTAGCGGAGCGGCAATATTAAATCCCACGAACTCCGCTGGTACAGAAGGTAATCCACAGTCAAGCGCTGAAAAGTAAGGCAATGTCCCAAATCCCCCAGTAACCGGACTAAACACAGTTCTGGGAGTCAACTGAGGTCTTTATTCACACGCTCCAGTATTTATACAATTCCCCATGCAAGGGGTTTCCTGAGTCACATCACAGGGGTATTACAGGAGTGGACTACATGGCAAACTTAAATCACAGAGCATTTCTCCCATCAGGCACTGCTGCACGAGAGGGATACTCCCACTGGACTGTACCGTTAAGTGGATTATCCCTCCGTGCCGCAGAACCGACAATTCACATTAAAATCCATAACTTTTACAATACTCGGTAGATTTAAACGAATGGATGTTTGGTAGATAGCTGGGGTCTGAGTGCACAGTTCATGAGAATACCACTCAGATCCCAGCTAAAACAACCGAATGCCACACGAAATACACTTTGCCATAGAGTTCGACCCAAAGTACCGAACACCGATGGGGAACCCTAATGGCGAAAAGACCGGAGCTCCCGAATGGCCTGGAAGCCCAGCGGTGTTTGCGCCGTAGCCGTTTTCAGTACCACGCGCTCGATGACCAAACACCGCTGGGGAGACAAAGGATCCAAGATGGCTGACCGCCGCGTGGTCAGTAGCCAAACGACGGCCACCTAGGAAAGCCTCTAATTACCGATTGCAGCGTTGTTGCAATCGGTTAATGAGCGCCACACGTCCCTCTCTGTGTGGGCTATTAAGGGATAGCTCATTCGGTTCACGAACAGCCTGCAAAGGTGCTGTTCGTGAAACGAAACACATGAATGCTATCTGCGTTTGGCAGCTAGCTGACGAAGTCAATGTAACATACAATAATATGCAGGGTACAGCCAGGGAATATAAGAAATTACAATAAGAATACAGGCAACCTTTTTAAACATATAGTCCATGTTAGTATAAGTGGCTAGGTTTGCCACAGTTACCAATGTTCATAAAGAGGTATATCATTTTTACCTGTATATATTCCTAAAAGAGTATATTTTAAGCTCTGTGTTGGTTGTGTTGAACTTGCAGAATTTGCATTAGTAATATTCAAATATGGACAGTCATTTGCCCCACAATGTTCATAGCTTGAAGTACTCAAGTTGTAACCTATTCAGAGAAGTAATAAATGTCATGTTAGTTATACTATTTATGCACTCATACATTGTACATCTGAAAAAAGTATCTAGAAATAGTCAGTAATAAACTTAACGTGTTAGGGGAAAAGGTCGCCAATAAACTCCTTGACCTTCTGTCATTTGGTTTATGATGTGTCCAGAGACCACAGATTATTTTTAAATAATAAACACTTCACTATCATATATCTCCTCTCGATCTTTATTTATTTAAATACAAACACTGTTTATTTTAGAGTGTCAATGTATCTGTTACATTTCTTGTCTGACCTATATATGACGAGAAAACTGAAAATATTTAACCAAAAAAAGTATATTGGCAGAATACTCTACTTAGCTCTTACCTGTAGTTGGTGTTTGGCCAAATATTAATGAAGAGATCAGATTCCCCCATACACCAGATGATTGGAATATAAGAAAAAAAAGTCCAAAATATTGATTGACAATATCTTTTGCGACCTTTCCTGATTTCTCCGCATATCGATTTCCACTCACTGTAAGGTATGTGCATTTTGCAGCCCACAAGGGAGCGCCTCCAAATCCTAAAATCATGGAAGTTGGAATGAGTGTGTACCTGAAAAATTTAAAGACATCATGGAAATATATGGATTTAATTTAACTGGGTTCAATAGTCCCTTTCAGGAGAATTCTACTAAGCCACAACAATAATTTCTATCTCTATCAAATTCAAAGTGTCATTGCTTTGCTAACTTCTCTTTTGATATATAAAATATCTTGGCAAAAAAGTGACTCTGGGTGGATGTGAGCTAAGTAATAGATAATAATGAGTAAATTGCTGATTTTTATTTCTTTAAAAAATTAAAAAATATATTTTTTAAAGAAAAGAATAAAATTTTTAATGATAAAGAAACATAGCCCTGAAGCATAATTTTGGTAAGTTTTGCTGGAATTTATATGAATAAATGTAATAGGAAATTAACAGTTTACAAGAAACCTTTTGCAAAGTGTTAGGAAGAAGCAAAACAAAAAGCTATGATAAAGATTAGTTCCACATGGACATTTTGGACAAGATGCTATAAGTTGCAGTCTAATAATTATCTTTTTTATTAGCTTCAATAAAAGCTACAAGAGTTAAGAATAGACATATGTTTGCTCATCATATATATGTATGTACATAAAAAAAATAAACCTGTTTTCCTGGCACTATAGGCTCTTGTAGTGGCCTCCTCCCTTGGGGCCCCACCTCCCTCGACGCTGAAGGGATTAAAACCCCTTCAGCCACTTACCTTATTCTAGTGCCGGGCTCTCTTGGCGCTCGTGACCTCTCCTTCCCCGCTGACGTCAGCTCCCGAGTGGAGCCGAATGCGCATGCACGGCCAGAGGCACAGGTGAATTCAAACCCGCCCATAGGAAAGCATTACTCAATGCTTTCCTATGGGGATCTTCTTTGACGCTGGAATCCGTGAGGACGTCCAGCGTCAAATAAGTGCTATTTACTCAGTGTAAATCATGGATGTGGCCTCTAGTGGCTGTCAGGGAGACAGACAGTAGAGGCTGGATTAATCCTGCAGTGTAAACATAGCAGTTTCTCTTTAAGCTGCAGGGTTAAAACTAGGGGGACCTGGCATCATTGAGCTGAAGTGGTCTGGGTGCCGATAGTGGTCCTTTAATAATCAAGAGTGACAAGACTTGGATTAAATATTAAAGTTTCCTAACAAGGAAGAATAGGTGGTATTATGGGTGCAATGGGCTAAATTTAGAGAATCACTCTATTGGTTTCTATGGTAATTACTCTCTATTTAGCACTTGCACTTAAAATACTACTTATTTTTCTCTTGACCCCCACTCTCCCAACCCATGCTGTTCTCCTGATAAAAGCCTCACATTCACCATAACAATATTGCACTATCCCTGTTTATGCAAAATAGGAAAACAGCTTTAACTTTTCATTAGAATTTCTTTCAAAACTCTTAACTTTGCAAAATAATGTAACATGAAAATAATTTTCTGGACAAAATTTCTAATTTTATTGGTTAGACATGAAAATTGGTAACTGTAACCTCCTGCAAAAATGCATAAAAAAATCCTAAATCACATTATAACTATTTCAAGCATCAAGTGAGAATGTAGTATGGCTGAATCCATAGATCCTAACTCTCACACAATCGCCACAGCTAAAATCCATCTTTAGGAATGTGTTAGATACAATTTATGATGTGAATTATATACATGATCTAAATTACACCCTGTTCCAAATTATTATGCAAATTATATTTTTCTCATTTACCTAAATAATTGATGTAAATAACAGTCAGCATAATTCTCATGTTATCAACTATTAAGAGTACAATTCAAATTTTATTGAACAAACCTCCTAATGATAACAGTATTTTTTTTAAACATAAAAAACTTACAGTGCACTGTTCCAAATTACTACGCACAGTAAGTTTCAAAACAATTTATAGGTTGTAAAGAACTGAAAAATGTCATTTGTTGTGTTTGCAGCATATTTACTAAAATCAAAAGCTATTTCAAACTTATAACAACATTTTAACTTTTTAAACATTTTAACAAGTCACGTTACATTTAAACATAGGACCCCTTATTTGATAGCAGCTTCACAAGTTTTGCATCCATTGAACTTGTGAGTTTTGGGACAGTTTATGCTTGAATTTGTTTGAAAGATATCAGAATAGCCTCCCAGAGCTGCTGTTTGGATGTAAACTGCCTCCCACCCTCATAGATCTTTTGCTTGAGGATGCTCCAAAGGTTCTCAATAGGATTGAGGTCAGGGGAGGATGGAGGCAACACCATGACTTTCTCTCCTTTTATCCCCAAAGCAGCCATTGATGCAGATGTATTCTTTGCAGCATGAGATGGTGCATTGTTAGGCATGAAGATGATTTTATTACGGAAAGCATAGTTCTTCCTTCTGTACCAGGGAAGAAAGTGGTCAGTCAGAAACTCCACATGACTCATAAGTCATCTTTACACCTTCGGGGACCCTAAAGGGGCCGACCAGCTCTTGGTGTAGTTCATGATTCCGGCCCAAAACATGACTCCACCACCGCCTTGCTGACGTTAAAGCCTTGTTGGAACAGGGTGGCCATCCACCAACCATCCACTACTCCATCCATCTGGACCATCCAGGGTTGCACGGCACTCATCAGTGAACAGGACTGCTTGAAAATTAGTCTTCATGTATTTTTCTGCTCAATGCAGCCGCTTCTGCTTGTGAGCATTGGTTAGTGGTGGCCGAATAGAAGGTTTATGCACAGGACTCTGGAGGACTCTACACCTTGATGTCCGTGGGACTCCAGAGGTACCAGGAGCTTCAAATATCTGTTTGCTGCTATATAATGGTATTTTAGCAGCTGCTCTCTTGATCCGATGCATGGATTTGGCAGAAATGTTCCTCAATGTGCCTTTATTTGCACAAACCCGTCTGTGCTCAGAATCAGCCCCACATCTTTTAATAGTGTGATGATCACGCTTAAGTTTTTGCAAAATATCTAATGTTTTCATACCTCGTCAAAGGCATTGAACTATTTCACTCTTTTCGTCAGCAGAGAGATCCCTTTTCTTCCCCACATTGCATGAAAATGGTGCTCTGCTTAATAATGTGGAACACCCTTGTTTAGTTGTTTTTCCTTAAATTGGGCTCACCTGGCAATCTAATTATCACAGGTGTCTGAGATTGTTTTCAGTAATCAAAAGAGCCCTGAGACACAATGCCATCCATGAGTTAAACTGAAAAACTAAATATTTAATCTTTGTGATACTTAAATAGAATTTGCATAATAATTTGAAACAGGGTGTAGTCCAAACATGTCAAACTAGCGTCCCGCAGGCTGCATGCGGCCCACAAGGACCATCTTTGCGGCCCGGCGAGCCACGAGTGCATGCTCAGTGTTATATCAGAGTAGGCATCTGCTTTCCCCATATTGCAGGTGCCTACTCTGCTTACACTTACCCGGCCGTGGAGGAGGGCCGCGAGTCCCTCGCGCGTGCCGACTGAAGTGAAGCCGGGTGCTGGAATATGACGTCATATTCCGGAACCCGGCATCACTAAACCGCGCGTGGGAACAGTGAGGAGCTGGAAGGACCCCATGGAGATTCCCCCCATCGGCTGAATAAGGTAAGGAGCAATAATGAAAAATATGTGTGTGTGTGTGTGTGTGTGTGTGTGTGTATGTGTATCAGCAAGTATGTGTGTGTCTGTCAGTGAGTGTGTGTGTCTGTCAGCAAGTATGTGTGCGTCTGTCAGTGAGAATGTGTGTGTCTGTGTCAGTGTGTATATGTGTGTGTGTCTGTCAGTGAGGATGTGTGTGTCTGTGTCAGTGTGTATATGTGTGTGTCTGTGTCAGTGAGTACATGTGTGTGTCTGTCAGTATGTGTGTGTCTGTCAGTATGTGTGTGTCTGTGTCAGTGTGTGTGTGTCTGTCAGTATGTGTGTGTCTGTGTCAGTGAGTATGTGTGTGTGTCTGTCAGTGAGTATGTGTGTGTCTATCAGCAAGTATGTGTGTCTGTCAGTGAGTGTGTGTGTCTGTTAGTGAGTATGTGTGTGTGTGTCTGTGTGTCTGTATGTGTGTGTGTGTGTGTCAGTGAGTGTCTGTCTGTGTGTGTCTGTGTGTGTGTCTGTTTGTGAGTATGTGTGTGTGTCTGTCTGTGTGTGAGTGTCTGTCTGTTTGAGAGTGTGTGTCTGCCAGTGAGTATGTGTGTGTCTGTCAGTGAGTGTGTGTGTGTGTGTATGTCAGTGTGTCTGTATGTGCCTGTCAGTGAGTATGTGTGTGTGTGTCTGTCAGTGAGTATGTGTGTGTGTATGTCTGTCAGTGAGTATGTATGTGTGTGTGTGTGTGTCTGTCTGTCAATGAGTATGTGTGTGTCTGTCAGTGAGTATGTGTGTGTGTGTGCGGCCCACATAAACTTAAACCTTGTTTATGTGGCCCGTGCCACACTTTGAGTTTGACATGCTTGGTGTAGTTCTTTTATTCGCATGAGAGAAAGTAATGTTTCCAATATCAACATATATCTGATTGCATTTTATCATATTATATAAACAATTAGTATAAAGTATTTCCATTATAGAGTATTATTTCATTCTAGATAATCAATAAATGAATTTACTAAAGAAAAAAAAAATCACAATTAAGATTCAATCCAAATAGATATCCCACACTGAAATTTTGATTTGCTCCAAACAGTTGGTTTTCTCTTCACTAAATGAGCGGTGGTAATGCTTTTATATCAGGAAAAAAAGAACCAGTGGTCACATTCTAAAGAAATTTTCAACTGTATTTAGTTCAAGATTTGCAAGCCATATATCTAACTCCTTTTTACAATATATATGCAGGGCCAGATTAACATAGGGGCTGATGGAGCTGCAGCTCCTGCCCATGCCTATGGAATAGGTCCATTGATTTTTTTTTTTTATTATTTCTTCTCCACATGCTCTTGCTTAAGTATGGATATTTAAGAGGGGTGTAGGGGAACAAACCTATGTGCACTTTGCAAATGCTCTTGCTGCTTCAGTCTCTCTAACAATGTGGCATGTCCCATTTCTTCAACACTCACTACATACACCTTTTCTCTGTCCCAGACTATATACCAGGAGCTTCTGCCTGCTAGTAAGAAGGTAAGGAGAGAAGTGAACAAGCAAGTGCTGGGAGACAGTCCTTAAAAAGCTTGGAGTGGGCGCATGACAAGCTCATGGTGCTGCATGCATAGTATGCCCTTAGTTGACCAGCCCTCATTATTAGCAGGCATCCTGACATGCATTCACGCCAGGCTGACCTTATAATTCTTTCAGCATATACTCCCCTTTTTGTGCATGTTTGTCCCTTCGGACGGTCCTGGTTGGATTCACATCAGTGGCCACCCTTTTACACCTCCCACTGACATACTGCTTTACAGGACACTGCTTTTAGCAGGTATGGATTTACTTAAAATATGAAAGCTAGAGATTAGCAAAGGGTATGTGTTTTCTTATAGTTACATCCTATGTTTCTCTCCAGCACCAGCTAAGCCAGATACATGACGCTAGGAAGTTATGACTGTTATAGTGTTTTCTGTCGATAACATTCTGTAATTAGGCTCATCATAATTGTCAGCACCAGGCACAATGGGCTCTTAATCTGGCCCTGTATATATGACTATACAAATGATAGATAAGCTATATTAAAACAGACTCCATGGTTTCTTGTGTGCATTTAGTGTTCACATATTCCTTTTGTAAAAGTACTAGCAGATTGCTTTAATTTGCTACAACTCAACACCACAGTGACATCTTGTGGTTAGAGATGAAAAATATATTAGCTTTTTACCTTAAAAGGGCACTCCAAACACCATCATTACTTATGCTCACTGCATAGGTTACAGAATAATTATTTTATATATACCTGTTTCCTTGGACAAAGAGCTGTGACTAACAAAAAAACATTGCAAATAAAATGCCAATTCACCCTGTGAACAAACAAGCTTTTTGAATGGGGTGTGTAGCTCATTTTAATTCCAGCCCAACCCTTCCAGCTTTGATTTTAGAGCCTAAACACGAATTGTGCATATGAATCGCTTGTTAAAGGAACACTATCGGGTCAGGGACACAAACGTATATGCACTTATACGATCCTATAGTGTGAAAACTACCATCTAGCCCCCCTGGCCTACCCTTGCCCCCTGATATATAGTAAAATCTTACTTGTATTCAAGCCTGCATGCAGAGGGTAGAGAATCTGAGCACTGCCTCAGAAAGCACCTCTAGCAGTCACCTGAGGAGTGACCAGTGGAATTATCACTAGGCTGTAATGTAAACACAGCATTTTTTCTGAAAAGACAGTGTTTACTGCAAAAAGCCAGAAAAGAATGATTCTACTCACCATACAATAAGCTGTAGTTGTTCTGGTGACAATAGTGTCCCTTTAATGAAGCAGTTTGGTTGTATAGATCATGCAGCTGCAGTCTCATTGCTCATTTCTCTGCAATTTAGGAGTTAAATCACTTTCTTTATGAAGTCCTAGTCATACCTCACTGCATGTCAGTTACACAGTCTACCTAAACACTTCCTGTCAAGTGAGATCTGTTGTTTACAATTACTTTACGGCACAGTCTGATTAATTTAGAATTTTATCTCCTGAACTGTTAATGGCTTGTTAGAATTTTGCAGGAGCCTCCTGTGTGTTATTAAAGTTCAATTTACAGAGCAAGAGATAAAAACTGCTAAAGTAAATTAACATCTGATTGGAAATTAAGCCATGCCAGTCACAGCCAGGAAACATGTTGCCAATGCTGCATAATCATAAATAAAGTGACATGATATAGACACCAAAACCGCTGCATTAAGCTTGTGGTAGAAGCTACAGGATGTTTAAGAAAAGTTCAGAACTCACATGGTTAAAACTACTGTGCAACTATCTTGGACAAGAGCGCATGTGTGGAATGTCAGTGTAACGGATCGCCTGGCACCCCAACTGGGTACCTCCATTTGACGGATGCTCCTGGTGCTTCCCGAGGGCTCCAAGAACTCCACTAGACACCATAACCACCGCAAACCCCATGAACCGCCGCAGCTTGGTTAGGGTTTCGCCGTCCTCCACCCACCCTGGACCCATGACCGGGCTCCAGCTTCCAGTGGGTGAACCTCTCCTTAGTCCAGAGAGCGAAACAGGAACAGGAACAAGCTCTTACAAGAGCTTACTCTGGGGAGCATAGTGATTATTGCAATCCCCAGAGTGTAGGTAGTTCTCCAATCCCCGAAACATGAACCAAGACTTCATGAAGGGTAGAACCGGTCTGTTTAATGAGCACAAAGGCATTTCTTTTATACAGTTTTCCCCACAAGGTTACCACCCATGTGGACCTTGTGGAGCACAGGAAACAAAGTCACAACAGCCAAATGTGGCGGAACCAACCTCGCCACTGTGCACTGGAGAAGCCTGGTTGCTTGCCTGCTCCCTTTAGATTATGGCCCTGCAGTTCAGAGTTTTTATTCTCCCTGCTGAAAGGTTTATTCGTGCCTTTCTGCCAGGGGGTTCGGTAGATTACATCTACCGAACAAACTACCGAACGATGGACCACCTGGGAGCTGGAGTGTGCCGTCAATTGACCGCCCAGAAGCTGCGGTTAACCGCAGCTTAATTGATGAACGCTCAGTGGCCTTTGTTCGTCTACCGAACACGCGGCAGCGGCCATTTTACCTCTCGAACGGCCAGTGGTGTTCAGCGCCCAAACTATGGAACTATAAAAGGAAACTTATTGGCGCGAACACCGCTGAGCCACCAGCCTCCTTACCTTCCCATTCGGTAGCAGAACCGAATGACTGTTTGTTCGGTAGTTTCGCCAGACGAACAGCATCACCCAGATAGCTAAGCCATGGAGCCTATTCGTGTAACAAAAGACTATGGGAAAGACTTTGGCTCCATGGCGATTGAACTGTATGTATGTGATCTGAGCGCCATTCGGTAGTAATGTGCGCTCAGACCTAAGCTATCTGGGGATATGAAGAATGTATATGTTTTATGTAAGAAATGTGACTGTATGTAATTTTATGTCTTCTACTGTATTGTTACTGCCATGTGGTTTGGAGTTTTGCCTCTGTCCTTGGAGATAATTTGATTACTTCCCAATTATCTCCAGGACAGAGAGGAGGGATTGTGATGTAATTGTGGGAGTGTTTAAAGGTGTATGTATGTGACTGGCTAAGAGCCAATATGTTTCCCAGTTTCCCATTTGGTCCCCTAGGGGAGTGTCCACCAGGTGTGAGACCTGCATAAAAGCCGGGCAGTTAGCCCCAGTAAACCAGTTCCTGCTTAACCCTCAAAGTGAAGTGTCGTCTCATTATTGTGGGAGGATTTACTGTATGCTGTTAGAGACTGATTGCCAGGAGTGTAAGCCGCTTGGGGGCTTTTCCTGTTCGTCTGCTAGCAGCTATTCGTGTGTCTCCAGTTCGGGAGTTTAGAGTATTCTCTTGGTATGCAGTTCGGGAGTTTTGAGTATTCCCTTGGTTGCAGTTCGGGAGTTGGTGAATTCGTGGGTTTGCAGTTCAGGAGATTGGTGCTTGCAGTAGCTGTCGGTGCAGCTGAAAAAGGGGAATATCGCCTAAACGGTTTTTAACCTCTTTTGGGCAAAATGGTCCGTTACACCAATCAACACAGTATTGTACAGTTAGACACTCCCAGCTAATGTACACAAACCTTCCCCTCTGCCTGTGATACAATTACCAAACACACTGGACTAACTCAATTACCACAGGTAGAAAATATCTAGTTTTAAGTCCAGAAACACCCCAAAACAACAACACATCCCCACAAAATACATCCATGGATAGCACTGATAGGGGTTAACAACATATACAAAAATCACTCAGATCAGAGCAGGGGTTAAATAGTTTTATTTAAGTCACATCTGACCAACCGCAAGCATGGCCGGTCTATCTTCTCCTCTATCCTGGAGAAAATTGACCTAAGCTGCTGTGGTAACTTAAAATATCTCTAAGTCAGAAACTGTTACAAAAACCACATAAGAATACATAACTCTTATAATACAATATTTAACCTATATGTCCAACATATCCCCAGATAGCTTGGATCTGAGCGCTCAATATGTCTAATGTTAAAAGTGCCCTATAGTACAAGGAAGGGTGAGGTCAGAAAATAGCAAGGGCTGATTGGAAATTGAGGAGGGACAAAGCAGCCAGTTTGAACTGGTCTGGCAGTGTCTCTGGGACAACGCCCTACTGAAGAAACAATAGGACAGGAAAAACGGGGAGGGGCAGAGGCACATTTTCCCATGCATTTAAAGGGGCAGAAAAAGTGTTTTAAAATCCAATATGCCCAAATAAAGCTTTTAAATGGCAATACATCCCAGGGGCCATGGTCACAGGGCAAGAGGCTAGCAAGCAGGCCTCTCCAAATCCCAGTGATGAAGGTGCTTTCGTTACAGTCAGGAACGCCCATTATTAGATAACATAGGTAAGAGATAGCCTTGCCCTGCTGTTCCTGGAACCCATCTCTGACTAGTCATGCCTATATAGCCTAGCTGAACAAAATGGCTGGAAAAAAGAACCAAGCCAGACCTGAATAACAAGTGGTACCAATTAGAAGATGGGAGAATAATTGTATCCACGTCACTGGCTGCAAACATTGACCGTCTACAGTAATACAAACAGTGGCCAGAGGATGCATGGAATGTGCCCCAACAAAATAGCCCCGACAAGGACCAAGCTAACAACCAGGGAATCAAACTGGTGGATCATTACCTATATCTGATTTGCTCATTGACTTTACTGTTATGTCAGAAGTTAGTGAATTCTGCTATATCCTTGTCATCGTATGCTCTTACTCTGGTTGGGTAGCAGCCCGGCCCACCAGAATAGAAAAGAAGAAACAACGAAAGAAAACAAGTGGTCCATTTCCTGATTACTGAAATAATTACAAGATATGGAAGCCCGATAACGGTTGGACCTGACAAGGGCTTAGCTTTTGTACACAAGTGCCTGCAGGAATTAGCCACCATTTTCCATGAGCTTCAGTCTTAAATAGAAACTGAACATTGCCTATAGGCCTCAAAGCTCAGGAAAAGTTGAGCGAATTAACGAAACACTGAAGCTACATCTGGCTAAAATGTGTCAAGAAACCTAGAAGTGGGATATATTTGTCCCCATTGCATTGTTCCGGATTAGCCCAACACAATTTACCGGTCTCTCTCCGCTTCAAAATCATGTACGGTTGACCACCACTGGTTGTCCTAGGCCTTAAAGGGGATCTCCACCAAATAGGAGAGATCACACACCAAGTAGTTCACTGTGAAAGTTGCTGAGATCACCCCGTGGATTCACCATTCCAGAATCAAGCCTACCTCTGTTCCATGGGAAGTAACATTTGTTGATCTTGACAACCCTTTGAATCTCCATTTTAAGAGAATAAAGATACTTGTTGGAGAAAATATCAACAAATAGGTGTTTTAACCCCTTTAGACCGGAGGGCGTACAATTCCGCCCTATTATAGGCGGCTCTAAACGCCGCCGGGCGTAATTTCACGCCCTCCGGTTTTTGCCTACTTACCTGGTCGCCGGCGGTCCCACGCCGGTGATTGCGGTGGGGGGGACTCCCAGGGAGCCCCCCGCGGCACGTCCGTCCTTGTCGAAGCCAACCGGCCATGTGAGAGTGGGGTCCTAGCAAGGACCCCACAATCACATGGCCGGGGATAGCTGGCTTCTGTATTGCCAGCAGGGGGGCTGCCTGTAATTACAGGTGGTCCCCCTACTGGCTGGAATTAAAATGAAAATAAAATGTATTACTATAAAAAAATATATATACTTAGATCATATATATATATTATATATATATGATCTAAGTATATATATATACACATATACATACACACACGTACACCGTCTAGGTATATTTTACAATTAATATATATATAATTATATATATATATATTAATATCAAATTACACGTAGATGGATACTGGTTAAATATATATATAATTATTGTTATATATATATTTATATATAATCTAAAAAAATTAAATATGTAAATACGTAAAAAAATAAAATAAAAAAAATAATAAAAATGAATTAAAAAATATATAGATGTGTGTTATTTCATTCTAACTGTATTGTGATATTAATATATATATATATATATATATATCAAAATACGCGTAGAACGAAATAATATATATATCTACATACATAAATATATACGTATATATCACTATATATATAACTATATATAAATAAAAATATTTTTAAAAAATTATATAGATATACACATATAGATTCACATATGTATATATATACATATATTAATTCTACATATATATTTATGTAATATTTTTACATAATTAGGTATCTTAATTAATTACAATTAGCGGGACCTGCCTGACAACCCATGCCGAAAGTAAAGGGAATTTAATTGGCTAGCACTATATTTAACCCTATAACTTTCCAAGACACCATAAAACCTGTACATGGGGGGTACTGTTCTACTCGGGAGACTTCGCTGAACACAAATATTAGTGTTTCAAAACAGTAAAATGTATTACAACGATGATATCGCCAGTAAAAGTGATGTTTTTTGCATTTTTCACGCACAAACAGCATTACACGGACAATATTATTGCTGTGATACTTTTTACTGTTTTGAAACACAAATATTTGTGTTCAGCGAAGTCTCCCGAGTACAACAGTACCCCTCATGTACAGGTTTTATGGTGTTTTCAAAAGTTACAGCGTCAAATATAAGGCTTGCGTTTCATTTTTTTCACATTAAAATTTGCCAGATTGGTTACGGTTGCCTTTGAGACCCTATGGTAGCCCAAGAATGAAAATTACCCCTATGATGGCATACCATTTGCAATAGTAGACAACCCAAGGTATTGCAAACGGGGTATGTCCAGTCTTTTTTAGTAGCCACTTAGTCACAAACACTGGCCAAAATTGGCGTTTTTTGCATTTTTCACACACAAACAAATACTAACGCTAACTTTGGCCAGTGTTTGTGACCAAATGGCTACTAAAAAAGACTGGACATACCCCATTTGCAATACCTTGGGTTGTCTACTATTGCAAATGGTATGCCATTATAGGTGTAAATTTAATTCCTGGCTACTATAAAGTCTCAAAGGCAACCTATCTGGCGAATTTCAATTTCAAATGTAACGTGCTATATTTGACCCTGTAACTTCCCAAAACGCCATAAAACCTGTACATAGGGGCTACTGTTTTACATGTGAGACTTTGCTGAATATAAATATGTGTATTTTATTGCAGTAAAAGCAAACAGTATTATGACATTGACAGTTAAAATGTCATGTAGAACTAAAAAAATAAAAAAAATCTTATTTTCTCCCATTTTTTTCATATTAAATTATGTTTCACATCTAAATATTTGATATTAAATGAAAGCCCTGTTTCCCCTGAATAAAATGATATATAATAAGGGTGGGTGCATTTACTATGAAATAGGTGAATTACGGTTGGACAGACATGTAGCGCAAATGCCAGGTTTTGTTTACATTTTGTTTCGTTCACAACATGTACATTTGGCTCCGTCCTTAAGGGGTTAATGCCCATAATAATGCCTGACCACCTGCTGTCGATGGAAAGCTGAGGACCCCAAAGGAGACCTTGTGAAGCCAAAGAGAATCAGAAGAGAATCAGAAGTACTCCTTATCCTGCAGCCCTCACATCTGGAAACTGAGGTGCCGACGCACGGTCAAAGCTTCTTCAGGATATTCTGCTCGTTTTGAGTTTGTGGTGATATTCATATTGAATAAATGACATGAGCCCATCTGTACTGAGATGGCATGGGGTAGAATGTATAAGTTAAACAATTAGTAGATGTGCCCAAAGATAAGGGATTGCATAAATGGTGGGTATAACTATTGCTTCTACTGGAGTCTTGTGGGTTGGGCCACCTGTAGATCAGATACCCTACCTGCGAGTATGCAGAAAATAGCCGCCACATCTAGTTGTGGTCCCTGCACTTTTAACCTCTTGAATCTGACACGGTTTAATCCCCTGGTATTCCTGTATAAATGGGACACCCTCCATGGTTTGCAGATATATGCTTCTGGCACAGGCCCGGGAATCATACAATATTTGAATATTGAAATTGAAGTCTTAAATAGTGAGACCCACTAGGTTTTTCAATCTTTTTATGAAGAGATAGGATCTCAGATTGAAATCTCCCACACCACTTGTAATTTGTTTCTTGACCTAGCTGAAAACATAGCACAATCCCTAAATGTAACTAGTTGCTATGTGTGTGGTGGCACCAATATGGGTGATCAGTGACCCTGGGAAGCACGTGAGACAGACTTGCTGGTACTACAGCAGGGAGAGGGAATGGCATAGTATCCCGTCCCAAATCTGAAGGGTTGTTAAAAAACTCCCTAATTAAGAATGAGTGGATAAGTAGATCTGGTCCAGAATTTGAGACTTTTGTATGTAACCTCACGTGTCTAGAGCAGCAAACATATAATTCTTCTGATTGGACTAACTCCTGGTTATCCGCAACCAATGCAATTGAACCATACCCTAGTCCCCTTGGTAATTACCCACATCTAAAAGATGTATGGACCAATTTGTCTGCAAGGTCCACTTGGATATCAGCCAATAATATGTATTGGATTTGTGGCCTTAAGGCCTACTCTGAACTCCACAGATGTTGGTCGGGAGCCTGTGTTCTAGGAACTTTGAAACCTTCCTTCTTCTTGATTCTCCTAAGGGAGGGAGGGAGAGATACTTGGATCCTTGGTATATGAATAGCTCTTAAAGCAGCAAAGGGCACTGACGATAGGTCAATGGAAAGATAATGAGTGGCCCTCTGAACCAATAATTGATTATTATGGTCTTTCTACATGGGCTGAGGATGGTTATTGTACCTCTATTTACATGTTGAATCGAATAATCAGGTTACAAGCTGTAGTTGAAATTGTGACCAATGAAGCGTTTAGCTAAACAGAATACCAGAATGCAGTCTGCTATCTATCAGAACAGCCTAACCTTAGACTATTTGTTAGCCACTGAAGAGGGTGTATGAGGAAAGTTAAACTTCTCTAATTGTTGCCTTGAGATTGATGATGAAGGGGAGGCTATAAATGACATTTTTGATAAAATAAGGACAGTGGCCCACATTCCAGTACAGACATGAAACGGACTAAGCTCTAGTGGATCTGAAAACTCTAGTGGGGGACTTCTACTCCTGATTTGATTCCGGTGCTGCTCCATAGTATAATTGATGCTACTATAGAGAGGAAAACAGCAGCTCATGTACTAGCCTTTTGGAGGTATACACCCCTTAATCAAGAAGATACTGTGTAACCTCACTTGCCTAGAACCCAAGACTAGATAGGCATGGTATTTCCGGTTATGATGCAT